TACGCACTCTAGGAGGACATAAAACCATCACTCCTAAGAATATCCTTTAATTATTGTCGTTAATGGTTCTAGGTAGTGAACTCTAAAAAAGGGGCGAACACAATAGATCTCTGCAGGTCGCAGTGCTACAGGCCGAAGCACCAAGTTATAGCCCAAACCCCCTTAACGCTAAATTACGAGGCATGGGGGTATACATCTTAGTCCACTAGACTGACAAAATAGGATCAGACGGACGTAAGGGGTGCTATTCATGAAGGTACATAGGCGACCGTTGCTACTTTCTTTCAGGTGGGTTATTAGCCTTTTTGTTATTCCAATTATATAGAAAGAAAAGTGGAGCGACATTCAAATGACTAGACAGTCGATAGGTGCAGATGACTCTAAACATTATTACTTGTGACAAGGGAGATATAGAATAGAATAGAATAGAAAATCATTTATTCAAATAAACTTAATTTAAGCACTTTTGAATAGTCATAACAATTTGTTTTTTATCTACCACTCGTTCGGAAAGCTGTCTCATCACAAGAAGAACGAGCAAGAAACTTGTGTGTTGCTCTTTTAAATAATCCTTGTAAGTTTACATTTACAAGTCGAAACGTGTGAATACAAACTACCAACAAGCACTAATTTTTTGGGTCAAATATAATCATGCAATAAGATTTAATCAGTCGTAGTGATAAGAGCAGACCAGTCCCTACAAGCAGCACTCGTTCACGAGTATGACGGATGAGCCAGCCATCACTGCGCTCGACCATATTTTAGGGAACCCATTGACCCGGCCCACCACGCCGCCACATGTCTGGACATTTTAGTGAGCATGACTACTCATTCCACACGACCACGTCATAGCTACAAAAATTACTATATGGTAGTTACAGTATTCGCACTTTACATAAGGATGCATGCGGCAATCAATACAAAAGCCGCTACGCTATCATATATCAAGAAAGCAGTATGAAAATTAAAATTATAACGTTGTCCGCAAATAAACTTATTCTTGCTATATATTGCTATCTATATGGTTAGTACTATATGTAAATGAATATACATATATAATTGTAACTCCTGGTTATAACAATTCATCAAAAGGAAAATATCTATAGGCACATGCAGTTTTATTTAGTGCTTTAAGCTGTGGTATTTATTACGCTACCAGTATCAATAATATTAAAAAATAATACAAAAACTTACGTTCAAAATTATATAACATAATGCTCTGCTTACTAGATTAATAATTAAAATATATTTGGAAGAAAGTATTCATCAAATGGATCATCAATTTCACAAAACAGCCAGAGGCAAAGATTTCTAAATGGTAAATTTACTTACTAAATATGCATATACTATTATTTTAATATTATATGATAGCTACTTTCAAATCAATATATGTATGCAGACATTTAAAATTTTTCATCAAAATAAATACTCATACACAATATGTTTTTACATCTTAATTACGATCTACATAAATTTAAATGCAAATTTTGTATATAAAAATAAAAATAGTAAAATATTCATTAAGTTTATTTTATTATAAAATAACACTGCAAGTTATTATCGTCATTAGTACAAGTAGTACAGTGAACTCTATGTCTTTAAAATGTAAATTGTATCTTTAATATGTTTAGTACATTTATATAATTTACTAAAAGACATAAATGTATTAAGTAAGTATTTCATTTACATTATTTTTTGTATGAAATACCACTGAAAGTTAATATCATAGTTAGTACAAGTAGTGAACTCTATGTCTTTACAGTGCAAATTATATCTTTACAATGTTTAGTATATAAATTTACTAACTTAATAAAGCATATTTTTAGGCGATATAAATTCAATTTTGTAATAGGCTAACCTAACAATTGTGGGGTTCGCGTACAGAACGGTTATACAAGGCACTAAGTGATTTTTTTCGTGTAATCGGTAATTATAGAAATTAATAATTATACAAGTGTAACTGTATTTAGTGATTAATTGTCTTAAACTATAATACATATATACTCGAAATTCTTCTGTATGTATATTTGTCACCTAACTCTTCCTAAACGGTTTTTTATTTGGATAAAATTTGTATGTCTATTTTAATGTGTTCCTGTATGATTGGGATACACAAATGAACCTGGTTAGTTGCTGCTGCTTTTCCAACAAGGTCGATATCTTACGGTGCCGGTGGTAAAATGTTTTTTTGCAAATAACAATTGAAAAATGTTTATATTAAATTTATTTGAATAAAGATTATTTCTATTTGTATTTTATATAAAATAAATGTATTTCCTAGCTCCGCGTTATAAGCAACTTAATATTTCACTCGTGATTCTAGTAAAGCACAGCGTTCCTCTGTGATCTATGGAATTGCCAGTTTCGTATCAATTTATTGCCACTTAAATGAATAACTACTGGTTATTCGAAAGTACACAACTATTCTAGCTAGACATTTATCACTTTTATTCTATCCTTCCATTACTTTAGTTACAGTAAATGCATTTTAATCGTTTCAAATACGTTATACTTACGAATATAGTAGTATAAGGAATAAAATAGATAATGGCGATTGGTGACATAATAGAATTATAAATTTAAATTAAGAACTCGAATAAATATTATACAATGTTTCCAATGTTAATATATTACTTTTTAAATTATTTATGCTTTTTTATTCTGTTATGTTCAAAAAGAAAATACTAGTAGGTATATTAGAAGAAATTGTAATTAAAATTATGAACACGAAGCAGTTTTTTTCTAACTAAACTTTAGTAAAATATCTAATAAAAATATGCTGATAAGATTTGTTTGTTTTGGTTGATGACGTTTATTTTTTATTTTTTTACAATTGTATTGTATTAATATTCATGGTCTATAGTAATATTGTTTTTTTACGAGAAACACTAAATTGAATTATAACAAATACTAGAAATCGATAGAATATTGTGACAAGCTGCAAAACACTGCTCCTAGTGAGTACATAGTATAATGAACAAATTACTTTGAGAGAAACATCATATTAAATAAATAACACGACATCAAACTACAGATGTAACAAAAAAGTTATCATAACATTGCTAGTTCAATCATTCATAGTTCAATTTGCAGAGTTACATGTTATCGTAGTATTATAAAATTATTTGTTCATTAATTTCATTCCATGTTGGACTAATCTATATGTTATGGAACATTACAATCTATCAAAAACACTAATCGATTTTGACTTTCTCGAGTACCATCACTACAGTTTGATTTATTCGATGTCCAGCAATATAACGGTGCAGCGTTTCTGTAGTTATTCAATGATAATCGATTGGTTCAAAGGTGTAAAGCAATTTGTTTACTATAATAAGTAGGTATAAATAATAAATAATCCTGGACAGCGCCATCTAGTCCCACGGTAAGTAAAGCTTGTGTTATGGATACTAGACACCTGATATGAATACTTAGATTTTTTTTTTAAATACATACATAGTATAGGTACATAGAATATACTCATGAATACAAATGTTTGCACCGAGCGAGGAATCGAACTCGCGACCACCATATAATATAATATTGATAACAATACATGTACTCTGCTCTATTTGGAATCAAAGCTGTAGTTTTTTTTAATGGGCGATAAAGGAGCGTACACGGCGCTAGTGTGATACTTTGACAACAGATCACCTGGGCACCCGTATATGACGATGAAATTAGATCAGGTAAATTCCCCAGAAAATTATAACTTTGGTTACCAAGGGGATAATAAATAAATAGTGCTGGACTTAAGGTACATTACTATAATTAGGGCAAAGGTAAGAAAAACAAAAGGATTACTATCAATGACACTTTCTAGAATGAGAATCGGATACTCTACATTCTAATGATCCAATTGGAATTGCTGACAAAACTTTATATAGGTGGATAATTATAAATATTAAATACTAATGACTAGGTTTCTATTCGTTTAACTACAAAGAGAGCCTAGTAATCATCTAGTCAAAATAAAATTTAAAAACTCTACCAAGCTGTACAATACTGCACGTACATTTTAGTACTAATGTAACAACGACATCTATTAAAGAACGGATACATTAAAAGTAGAGTTGATACACTTTGACTTGGTAGAGAAATATCTGTTAAAAGCAGAACAACGCAGGTCATGTAGGTGATAAAAGCAAGGTTTAAATCAATCATGTAAACTGGCAACTCAATGTGCTCTGTAATGTGAAACACGCAGTTTAATGTCTTCCGCTAGATGGAGTTATCAGAAACATATTTTTATATTTGTTGTTTGTATTTTAATTTTATTTATTTATTATACTAATTTTATTTCAACTAATTAACTGATAAATACGTAGAGTAAACTTATGAACATCATGACTATTATTATTATTATTATTGAGACTATTATTTAACAGACCAATTAATTCTTATATTACCTACAACTTTATTAATTTCTTAACTGTAAACATATATATATATATATATATAATATGTACTTATTATATCTTAAATATATAACTTTATTCTCTGTATATATTATTGTACTTTTTATAGATTCAATACCAGTTTAAAAAATAATTAGTACATAAGTTTTATTTTATTATTTCTAAGAAGTAGGTAATAAAAAGCATGGATATCTAAGTAATACCTACTTGTTGATTATAATTTATTCAGCCTCGATAGACCAAATATTTGCAATGTTAAATATATTCTAATTAGTAGTAGGTACCTACTCAACTATTTTGACTCTAATATAATAATATAGATGACTTTAGTCCAAATGTAAATATTTTGCATCGTTTAAAACGAACAGTACACAAACGTGACATTGTTCGTACCGGTGATGTAGGTTGCTGCACTGCATCAGGTACAAAAACGAAACCATTTAAACTATAGCTCCCTCTGTCACTCCAATAGCAATAGAAGTGCTTTTAGCAAGGGAGAGATATCTAGTTGCAACTTACGCCGCTGAGCAAACAAGGCTTGCTTTTCGAGTCACTCGCTCGACTCGACGAGTTGGAACGAGCGACCGGCGCCATTATTCTCAAGTTGTCTGTGAACGTGACTGTGTCTGTTTTCTGCTTGTGTTACTACTCTTCGTCGATCGTGTAACATCACTACTGCGCAGTGTAAGGTAAGGAAGTTAGATTTAAAATTGTTTGGAAGCAGTGAAATTTCGGAAAGTGAGTGCAAATAGAATTATGTGTGACAAAGCTTTCTCGCTTATTTATGCAAGGAATTTACCAGGGCAGTGTGCATAAGTAACGAAGGCTCGAGGCGAAGCGAGCGGCGCTGCCTTCGCCGCCTGCGCACCCAACCTCAATAATCTCAAGTGTCATTTTTGGTAAAACCATGCATATTGTGATATCGTGACTGTGTTCTAACTTCTTTGTTTGTGCATCGTTATGTTTTATCATCGTAAAGGCGACGATCTCCGACAATAACGCTACAATTTCTTTGTGTTCTGGATGTCTCCATAGTTGCGCTGACGCATGAAACATTTATGGCTTAGGTAATACCTTTCGAGGTTGAGTGCCTTATCTCGAGCGTCGACGGAATAAACGACTTTATATTGTATATGTATCTACCTAAGTACTTTGAATAGGCACGTCTTCGTTGACTGGTAGTACCTAGACAGGTGGGCTGACTTTTCAACGCCAAAACATATTAGCATTCAAGATAAATTTCTCATTAGTGATCACATTGAAATGATTTAGGATATTTGTTGTTAACGTAAGCAATTTATTTTTGTAATAACATAGAATGACGGTAACAAATTTACGGTATCCAATAAATGACGTCATACAGATTCCTATTAATACAATACAGTTTTTAGCTTTATCTATACGCTTATCTTGTGGCATCAGATAGAAAATTTATATATTTTTTTGTTGTGTGGTAATGTACACAATAACAAAGTCATTGCGATAATATACGTATCATTCAATATTAAAATTGGGTAGGGGCCAAAAACACCAATTTACAACAACTGTGCTTGCGCTATGTTTTTAACAGTTTTTCACACACCATGATTATATCAGACCGTCATAGCCTAGTAATTTACTACTACAATAAATTAAGTATTAACAGGAAAAACAGCGTTAGGCCCCCTGTTACATTGAAACAAAAACCCAGCGAGATGTGGGCATGTCCAGTGTTGCGTTCACCACTATGTACCTGGGCCCACCGTCTGCCTCTGTCTCTGATAACAGTCGTGAAGTTATTGTTATTATTGTAAATTAAATCTCTAATACAATCAAATGTAGTTCATTAACAATTAGCAATTAAGAATATAGGCAATCATCAAGCAGTCAAACAACTGTCATTAAAATACTTGGTTCCACACGCCCATTGCATAAGGCGTAGAAATAACAGCCTTAGCTTTCACAGCTGCCTATAACATTAATAAAGTTACAATCTGAGATAGTAGTTATTATAATAAACTCTCTATTAAGTTAAGAGTTCAGAAAATTATAATTTTCATGAAAGTACATATTTTACAGCACAGTAGGTTTCATTTGGTTTATTGAATCGTATATTATTTAAATGTTCGTGATCATTCGTACAGATGTATACTGATCTTATATTATTTCACGTAAATTTGTGATTAATTTTCTATCTATTCTTTACTTTCTTTTGTTTAGTTACTTTATGTTATTTCTATATATAAAAGTATTAAATTTCAATATAAATTAGTATTTCTTATATCGTTTTTGCAAATCACACACAGATCTTACTAGGTAATTGATAGGGATACATAAACAATTTCATAGTAAATACAAAATACGAAGATTAACAGACTCATGGCTAAAAATATTCTTGATAAGCCGGAATCGAATCCGCGACCATGATAAAGCGAGACCGTATCTTAAAGCATTACAATGCCGAGGTCGTTAAATTAATAAATACTATAAAACAATAAATTACAAGCAGGTAATAATAAATTAATACAGTCTGTGATACAAGAATTATGTCATCTAACCCTCAAAAGTAGCAACAAAGTATTCTGTGAAGTATCGTAGATTATGTTTATAGATAAAGATTTCTTATTTGGATTATCTGGTCCATTAACTAGTTTGCCAAAAATGTACGTAATTGAATTTGCGGGTAAGAAATAAAAATGGAATCCAAGAAAAATATAAATCAGTCAACAAATTAATCGTCCATAATAATCTTCAACGAAGAAGCAAAACTTCAGCGAAATCAGAAACATTTCGATTGCCTACATCGTATTGAAACAAAAGCTTCTGAACACCACAAAGTAAGTGATGTGACGACAATTGCGTGACGACACTGTGACCATTACGTAAGTTAACTATGACCTTCACTTATATATTACTCAGGATTTTTGTGAATAATAATAGAATGGTCATCCCGCTTTATCTAGCACTATTAAAGCAAATACTACCTAATGAAATTAGCTCACAGCCTATTATGGAGAAATCCCTATTAATTAACCATAATATTTTGCTTCGAGCACTGCATAAAGATCGACCTGATAGAACACATTGGTAAGAGTCGAGCAAATAGTCTTCATTACTAAGGCCAACCGCCGCTCCATTAGTTGAGTGAAAATAGGTACTAATGAACGCATGTTGCATCATATGACAGATCAATCAAAAGATGGCAAAGCATCAGCCTTGTGTTTGAATGAGTAAAGTTCATTGAAAAGTTAAATGTAGATGTATGTTTAGATAGCTTTTTTCTATTATTAATTACTTTTAATTAGTCTATGGTCTATAACAATATGGTTATAAATATATTTTCATGTCTATAACATCAATAATAAAATCTGTATGTGACAGTTAATGTTTCAATTATACTTAGAATTTCAAGCTATCAATTTGTATGAAAACTCAAATGATAGACTTTCAAGAAAAACTATTTATATACCAAGATTTGTAAGTTTTGCTCAAACCGTATATATTCATGACGTCCAATATAGATTATCCAATATTTTATTATGAAATCGAAATAATACTAACTGTTGATAATGTTGTTTATACCTAATTTGATACTTTTAAAAAACACATGTAATACATATAAAAAGTATTATTATTCATTCTGAATTAGTAAATACTAACTTTATGACCTCACTTATCTATAATTTACTGACAACAATCAACCCTTTGATTAATGGGAACGTTATCAAGAAATTGAATGAATAAAATTTACAACAACTTTTTTCATGAGTTATTATTATATTGTAAATTAGTAGCTGACACACGCAGCTTTGCCTGCATCATATTTTCCTTATTGTTTGCATTATTTATAACATTATTGTTTGCATTATTTATATGACATCTTATACCCTATAGCTTTTTTGATAAATGGGTTATAACACACTAAAATCATTTTCAAAACCGGACCATTAGTACTGAAGATTACTCCGAACATCGAAATTCACAAACAATATTAGTATAGAATTGTTATTTTTCAGATTAATACACATCAGAGTCAATTGTTACAAATTGAAAAAAAAGTTTGTTTTTCTATATCCGCCATATTGCACATTGCATTGTGACGCATTGTGTAACCTTTAGAATAACCTCTCAGCATAATAGACGATAGACCTACTCTTCGACATTCACATGATCATCTCCGTTATTAAATTATCTCCCTGTTAATTTTCACCTGAATCAGTCTGCAAAGTTCTGCAAAAGTAACGTAACAGACATATTCGTAAACGTTTAACAACTGTTCGGTTTGGTTCCACAAATAAAGATAACAAAACTGGTACAACAATGGAACAAGCGAACCGCTCATTAATTATAATAATTTAATTAGTGTTTTCGCAATTACAAAGAAATAACAGATTTATTAATATAAAATAATAAAATTATAGCATGGTTGTGATCACACAATTGATATGTATACATATCAATATACTTAATGAATAATATTAAAATAATAAATTTTCCGAGATTGATTTCAAATAATTCATAGAGCTATATATATATAGCATCTTGTGTTATATTTACACCGAATATAAATAAAATTTGATGATACCAACAGTTACAATACATTATTTGGAAAAAAAGAAATAATAAGGAAATAAAGATGTGGAACGTTCTTTTAGTCAATGCGTCTGAGTAGTGAAGTCATAATCATCGTATAAGAATTATAGCACTCGTATAAGATAACGTCATCGTTATAGTCAAAAGGATGCTTAGTACCATATTCGTGCCGACCCATTAATCTGTCATGGTACTCCAAAAACGGAAGGCATTGACGGAAATTGATGGTGCCACGGATTGCTGGGTCACATGGTTAATTGTTTCATTATTGTATACCTTGAATGCATTATAGTGGACATCTGCATTGTTGAAATCGTATTGACTTTGTGCATGACGCGTTACTAGCATTTTGTATAATTCTGATTAGATCTTCATTGATACATCTATTCTCAATATTCAAATTACATTTTTATATCTATACAAAACCCGGATATGAATAAATGATTTAAATTTAAGTGATTAAAATCTGATAAATAATTTTTATACACAAATTTACGACAGAAGAGGAGCTATTTAAATACTTTACTATGTATTTAAAATCTAGAATGCAAGTTTTAATGCTGATCAAGTAGAAGAGCTGTTGTTGAGAAGCCACAAGATCACTTTGAACTCCTTTAATTTATTTTACTATGTCTTATATTGGCAATAATAAGTCATGGATTCATCGACTCCTGGGCTACAGGTAGATGCGTTCAGTAAAACTATATATAAAAAGACCTGATCGATTTGTGCAATATGATATTTTTTCCTCCACAAATTAATTGCTTGATTGCAATAGCAATAGTGACAATTGAATAGAGCTGGTATGTGCCGGTAAAAACTCGAATACAGCTACTACATATTACATTATTCCCTCTTCAGCATTTAGGAAATCAATATTTAGATACAAAAGCTGAGATATATGTATAGATAAAAACTTATATTGATTATCAATATTTACAATTCGTTACCCTACACTCACTATTGTTTAACAATATGGAATTATTTAAATATTTTTAGATTTCATGGATTCGTCAATTCAATTAATCCTTTTCATTTTTTACACCTCTGGAATGGCAAATAAACTGAATGACACTGTTACTCAGTTTATTGGTGAAAGTGTCGTCAATCGTCGCCT